TTGAGAAAAGGAACAAAGTTAATAAATAAGGATGGGGGAAAGCACAGGAGAATTCTTTGTGAGACAGACATGTGGTTCAGAAATGAGAAGATTTTTAAATGGTCAGGATGTCAGGAGGGCGTTAAAGAAACATTCCAAGAGCAGACTTCAGCCGAGGGAGAGTACTGTAATTCCCTTAACTTCAGTACAATTTATTTCAAGTCAGTCAAAAAAGACCCCAAATGTATATGACACACTACTGCAGCTATGAGGAGTAACTGGGCTGCGAGCTGGAGAGGTGAGCGCAGGGTGGAACATCTGACCCTCCTTGAGAGCCGCCTGCAGTGTCCCTGCCATCCCTGAAGGAAATCCATGGGATGTGCTCAGCTGCAGACCCCCAGTCCCGAGCCCTCCCTCTGTCTCTTTCCAGGTGATGGGACAGGAGCTTCCTCAGGTCCCACCGCTGCTCGTCCTCTTTTCTCGTGCGAGAGGGAAGCACTCCTYCCCGCCGCCACACTGGCAAGACGTTTCTTTCTCCTGCTGTACCCTCAGAGGGGCATCGCTGCTGCAAGCACAGCTGCCGACCCTGCTAAGGGAGCGGGGCACGGCCCGGGCACTGGGGCAGATCTCGGCTGGGCAGCACGGCCGTGGGGTGCCCAGAGCGCTCCCGGTCACCCCGGCACGGAGACACGCTCCGGCCACCTCCCGGCGGGGCTGGCCCGTTCCTGGCAGCCACAGACAGCGAGAGGAGACTGCCTGGCCTCATGTCCCTTYCTAGCTCCCGCCTGACCCCGGCAAAAGCTCCTCCTGACTGCAAATTGGCTCACTTCAGCGTTAGGAAAAACCAGCTTCCAGCACCAAATTCAAGCTCCTGCAACATATTACAATTAATGAATTCTTATGGTTGTTTAACGCCCACAGACACAGTTATGACTGCAAAAATTCTTAATTAAGTAAACAGAGAGGTGTTTTTAGGAGAGCAGTTTCAAGCTGGTGTACACTCAGCGAGTAAACACAAACTTTGAAACACATACTACCTTACTCTGCRGAATCAGAAAATTGGATTTGTATAGTGTTTGTAGAGTTTGTTCACCTCACTGCTATTTTAGAATCAGTCTCAGAAGGCTGTCAGGGTACGGTTTAGRGTATCAAGCCATAGAGGAAGTGTTGTTTGACTTGCTTAAGGATTGCTAACACTGTCAATTCGTCAAGTTGATTTATATTTCTTTTCCCCAGCTTTCCAAAAGTGTCTCGTCTCTGCCTGTYTTCATGTCATGCTAAATGATGTGATTCTGGCATGTTCTCCATTTGTGATTGTCAATAGCCAGGAAGATTTATAGCCTAAGGATAAAAAAATTCCTCTGGCTATGGTCTCTTGCTCTTTAGCTTACGAGTCAGAAACAGGGAATGAATTTTAAATTGATTGTAAATACTAATGCTGCATTAAAAATTCAAAATGGTAGCACTTTCCTGTGTATGTTCCAAAATATATTTTGTGCTGGTCAAAATGATATGAAAAAGCCTCAAGTTTTTCATGATGACTGAAAAAATTTTTACTTTCCATTTCTTACTGTGCTGATGCTAGGATAAAACCTAGCATAACATATGTTAAAATGTTCTCCTATATATATTGCCCATCATAGTAATTCTCTTGAAGCAAATGTATCACTTTATTTTTTCACCTGCTTTTTTTTTCCTTTTTTGTAGGTTTTAAATTTGATGTGAGAAAATATCTGAAGCTCTAACATTAATAAATGAATGCCGAGTAGGATCAGACTCAAAGGCACCTACTTAAATCACAAAGTCCTTAAATTGCATGATTCAAATTCTTTTAATTCCCTATGTTTTTCATCCACTATTTTAACTTCTGGGACTGATCTTTAGCATCACTAAACAATACAGTAATATGTTTATATGCTCCTTACAGAAAATGAAGTTTGTCCATATCTTGCACAATGGAAAAGTGCATCTTAGCAAACAAAGGAATCATTGATTCACACAGAGGATAAATTTTCACTTTATTCACTCACAACATGCACGGATCCTACYTGTGTGTACATTTCTCCTTGTGTCATGGCTGTCCTGGAGTTATTTTCCTCTATGTCCTACTTACTTGAAGGATGCCACCATTGTTACATTACTAAACTAACACCCCAACATTACTGAACTAAAATAGGCCCTAGATCTTATTAATTAGGTGATGAGCCCAAATGTCTCTATATGCCCCGTATCTCACGCACAGGACATAGACTTCCATATTTTGCTATGTCAATAAGCTGCAAATTAAATTATGTTTTTCTTCCTTAGCAGTTATCACTTGTCTGAACAGCAACTCTGACTGTATTGTTATTGAACTGACTGATTAGTTCCATAGTAAAAGAGAAAGGATTTTTAATAGCACACTGAGCAAAAAAAAAAACCAAAAAAAAACCCCAAACTACTTTTTTAAAAATTTCATTTGGTTAAATGTAGAACTAGCTGTGGTACCTACAAAAAGTAGGTGGTGAGTTTTCTGCACTTTTAAATAATACACTCAAACAGCCTGTGTATTTTTGTATGTGAGACTGGGGTCACGACCTTCTCATTTGGTTCCTGCAGAAAATAACCAAAGTGCAGAAAATGACAGATCCAAAAAAGAGATTTCACATGACTATTCCCTTTCTAGAGCATTTTAAGCTTTATTAACAAAACACTTTAAATTTTGAATTAAATGATGAAGCTCCTTGGCATTAGAAAACAGCTTTCARAACCACTGTTTTAGTTTCCAAGAAGAAACAGCTTAATACCAAAAACATTTCTGTTTCCAACTATAACAGTATCTGGCATAATGGGATATTGTAACAGTAATTCCTGTGTCTGGGTGATTTCTGCTCCACAGTAAGAGCAGAGGTATGCAGTGGAAGGGTCAGCTTTGAGCCTTCGTTTGGCAGAACGAAGCATATGTGATTTTAGGCAAGTCGTTTGAGACCTCGTCCAAGAAAGGCAGCAGGCAACACTTCCAGTGCATAACTTCACGGCCTGGTCTCCTCTCACAGTTCAGGTGAAACACTGCAGGTCTCAGGAAGGAATCAAGCACAACTGGGGGATTGTCTAAATCTAGCTAGGACAGATCAGAGTTATCACTGAGAACAGTAACTGGACTGAGTGCCTGTGGGGACTCATCTCCTGCCTCTTGCCAAGAGAAAGTTGTGGGCAGGTGCACAAGCACAGAGCTACATGTGCAGGGAACAGAAAGTCCAAATTCCTCCCAAACACTTCAAACACACATTTCTGAAATTTCAGCTCCTTTGGCATTAGATGACAGCTGACAGGGCTTTTAAAAGGATCAAAATTTTGGATTTATATGCTTGAAAGTTCTGTCTGTCCCACATTAGGCATTCCAGCAGCATTGAACTCTGCAAGTTAATTTTAGTTTTTACCTCAGCTGTTTCAYTGCAACCTGTAATGAGTAGAGCAGGTGTATGCTAAATTCTTTATGGACTTGCATCATAATTATTCTGTATTCATTCCTTTACTCATAGAACAGTTACTTTAGTATGTGAGTTCCCTACTCATATACTAAAGAGAATAAATATATAAATGTTTTTGGAAGTGTTCAGGTAATACAGACACTGGCATTTTAAAATTAGATGGAAGTACAGATATGCTATACAAGGTCTAAACAGTATAGTCACTTCGAAGATCAGAAATCACTTTAGAGAGAAGAAAAATGAGGCACAACCTCTCTTTCTAGACCACCATTTGAATTCCAGTTGAGGCCTTTTAGCTGTCAAAGGTGTGATATGTAATTACACTCTAGATATTATTAAGAATTAGCATTTATTCTAGTCAGAGGACAAACATAATAAATACAAAAAGCTTTTTTGATACTAAGGTTCATTTTTGGATGGAGCTAGTGGATTAATTTTAGACTCAGTATGGAGTCTGAAGCATTTCCCATGAAAGACCTTGTCAGAGTTAAATGCCAGACAACTAAATTTTTAAAACCCAGTTCCTTTAGTTTCTTTAACTTTTTTTTAACTTTTAACTTTACATGAAGTTAAAAATCCATCACCTGTTTTTTTTTTTTCTTCCCAATATGTTTAGCAGAGTTTCATCTATTTAACAACTATACAGAGTTGAAATCAGGAGCCTTATTTACTRGGAACCACTTCATCTCCACAGCAGAAATTGTTATGTCAGAAGGTAAATAGCGGAGAGGACACAGAGGTGGGCACGGCTGACCCCTCTCCTGTCTGTAGAGCCCCTCAGGGCCGCTCTGACCCATGGTCAGAAATTTGTCACTGTGGTGGTTCACGGCCGTGGGGTCTGGGGCACACGCAGAGGAACCGATGGTCGGTTCATGCCCTCTCCAGGATTCCAGGGGGATTCCAGGGGATTCCAGGGGCAGGAAAAGCTGGCAGTTTCCAGATAAACCCAAACCACAGCGGGAACCTCTTCGCCCGGCCTGCGTTCAAGGTGTACARCCTCATGCCACGCGAACTAGTCCAGGGCAGTTCATGCGGATGATAAAACAGGGAATTACCCCGCAGCCCTTAGTGTCACCTGCAGTTCGGGTTCTGAGGTTTGAACGCGGTACCCGGGGCAGGACAGGAAAGGAGCGCCGCGGACTGGGGACCCGAGTGTCCCCAAACTGCGCTCCCGACGCGAGCAAGGACTGACAGAGCCWAAGGCCCGGCGGAACAGGCGCCGGCTGCCTGACGAGCCATCCTTTCGGGGGGCCCCCAGCAGGCAAAGGCTGTCTCTGGCCGGGTGATGGTGGCGGAGGGCGCTGAGGGAGCCCCGCGCCATGCCGACAGCTGCCATGCCCGGAGCTGCCATGCCCGGAGCTGCCATCCCCGGAGCTGCCATCCCCGGAGCTGCCATGCCCGGAGCTGCCATCCCCGGAGCTGCCATCCCCGGAGCTGCCATGCCCGGAGCTGCCATCCCCGGAGCTGCCATCCCCGGAGCTGCCATGCCCGGAGCTGCCATGCCCGGAGCTGCCCCGCCGGGCCGGCCCCATTGCCGCCCTCCCGCCAATGACGGCCGGGGCCGTCACCGCGCTGCGTCACGGGGCGGCCGCCAAGATGGCGAAGGTGTCGGAGATGTACGACGTGACTTGGGAAGGTAACGCCGCGCAGCCGGCGGCCCCCGCCCGGGGTAGGGGCYGTGCCCGGCCCGACCGGCCCTCGGCCGCGGGGAGGGGCGGCGCTCCCGGAGCCCCGCAGCGCGGCSATCCCCTCCCGGCGCCGGGCGGCCGTGCCCAGGCCCGAGGAACTGGGGCGTGGGGCGGCGGTTCTGGGGCTCTGGGCGATCGGGCCGCAAGAGCGGCGACTCGTACTCGGTGCCGCAGGTCCCCGGCCCGAGACGCGCACCTGGCCGGAGCGCCCCGCCTGCGCTGCTCCGGTGTGCGGCGAGCCAGCCTCCCCCGGCCTCCCCTGGCGTCCCCCGGCGTCCCCTCCCCTCCGCTCCGCTCCGCGGGGATGTTCCCCGCCTCCCCCGGACACGGCGGCTCCGCGTCCCCGCTTCCCGGCCTTCCCCCGCAGSGTACAGCGCTTGGCTGGCTCAGCGGTTTGTGTCATAGTTCATCTTCGGGTGAATGGAAAATGACCGGGTATTTCCGTAAAACTCCATCATAAGCGTTTGTGGGAAAACTTTAAGAAGGTCTGAAGTAACAAAAGTTTTTGAAAATCCCGCCCCCCGGGTCTTTATAGCTTTTATTATGATCATCATCGATCATAATGGTGATTTATTTTTCATGGAGCAACGCTTTTTGAGTTTTACTCGACATTCTCAGTGTTTCTTCATTCATAGCAAATATTCACATGTGAGCTGAAGAAAGCACTCAAACTTTGCAGTCTCCTATCAAGAATAAATGATGTTTATTAATAATTTTGGCCATAAAGGGCAAACCTTTATCTACATATGATTGATACAAACATACTGTAGAGAAGATTATGCAGACAGAAGTTGTSTGATCTTTGGTTTTCATTTATTTACTGTCAATCTGTGAAGAAATAATTGAGCAATAGAATAATTTTCCTGTCATGAATTGTTGCTTAGTTTGGCTTTGTAGCTAATGGGAGGAACATTGCATGGGATGTATTTTAGCAGATGCCAGTAACTTGCCTGTTGAAATAGTGCCCATGCTGTCTTTCCTGCACCTTTTTCTGTAGGACTGAAGCAAAAGAAAATGGAGTTTGAAACATTCAGGTTTTGACTCAAATTGGCATTAATCTCAGGAAAAGTTTTAGCTAGTATTGAAGAAAATAGTGCTCTAACTGAATTAATAAGGATGAAGTAGTGGGCTTGCTTGGCAGTCTGGAGATCAATTTATAGACAATTTTAATTTGGGATTTGGTTGTATCCACAATATGTTGCTAGAGTAATTGGGAAAACCTTTTGATTGCCCATTCTTTTATATCTCTTGAGTGAAGGTATAGTATTTGTGAAGCTCAGCTTGGATGGAGAGCAGGCAGGCCTCTGTACAGGAAGGGAGATTGTATGGATCATTACTGGTGGTGTTGTTAAATTTTCCCAGAAGTTGCTCTATACCATCTGGCATWGAAAAATTCCAGTTTTTATTTTTCTTGAGCAGACATTGCTAAAAATGCAGGAATTTAGGGTTTGGGKTTTTTTTTCCYKKTTTTKGGTATCGGAGATTTGCAAGAGAATTGAGCTTTTTCACAGGATRCACACTGTGGACATGACTCTGTACATTTTGCCCAAGACTGTTTTGGCCCAGGGTATTGCAGAGTGTGTTTGTAGAGACCTGGTGTAGGATACTCAAGCTTACTGCTGATTCAGCTTACTTGGGTAATTCATGCTGAGGTGGGCTTCCTACTCTTAGAAATAAGCTCCACACATTCTGTTTCCAAGAGTTCTGATTGACATTTGTGGCATTGTGCTAGGTGTAGAGTTTTGTRTGTAGGTGGGCTTGAATGAGAAATTTTGGAGGAGGACCAGCTGGTGAATTTATCATATCAACTTCTCAGGTGGTATCTTCAAGTGTAAATCCAAATGAAAAGCTGGTGGGTGTTGGTGTAAGGAACTGTCTCCACTTTAGAGCACGCGTTTGAAAAATTCTGTATTTTTTTTCTCTATTTTAAGAGATGAAAAGTAAAGTGAAAAAGGAGTCCTGCAGCAGACCATGCAAGGACTCTTCTTGAAGACTTTATCTTCAAGAGCTTTAGAAGGTCCTGGTGCAATAAAACTTKGCATGGGTGAGATGATCCTAGCAGTGTTGTGACCTAGTTCCTAGCAARGAGCTTGAACACAGTTCTAGGAATTTTGCATAGCTCATTTTGAATCTTTCTAAAATGCCTGATTTCTGTGAAACCAGATGTATGGTTGATACATCCTTTATATAATCAGACCTTCCTGAACAAGACATTTTATATATACATATTGCTCAAAGATTAATCTGTGATTCAGGATTAGGAAAGAAGACAAATGAAATTGTACTGTGCTTTGCTTTTCACTCAGGGCCTTTGAGACAGAGGTAGGACTTAAACTATGGTTAAAGTTTGTTGGGTACATGCATGATACAGGTGGTTAGAAGAGATAACTGAAAATAACTGTTAGCCARTGTTGGAGTGGTTGTTTTTACTTTTTCTTTCTTTACTTTGTTTCTGTGTCTCAAGCTTTAAGTATATTTGGAAATCCATGGAGCAGGAGAACCTCTCATTTAACTTCATGATCTTGATCAATCGWCTTAGATGATCCCAACACAGATTCAAGGTGCTATGATATTGAAAAAGAAGCTTGTATGTGGTTGTGTAGCATATATTTTACAGCTTATTTACTTGACACAAAGGTGAAATGTTGCCTTTTTTTTTGATACTGTTACTAATTATCCTATAGAAAATGGCATATTTCCTGCTTCCTTCATACATARAAGAATTAGAAACTCTGGAGTGACAGGAAGCCAAGAACTGCAGGTGTGGCAAAGGAGCATGATGTAGTAGGTTTGCACATCACTTGCTACCTAATGACGTGCAGCCTCTTACCAGGAATTTCTTAAGCTATGTAGAACTTAATTAAAAAATACAATATTTTCAGTGATACATTAAAGCTGAATTTGTCCCATGCATAGAAATACTAAAAAAAAAGGAATTTCTTAAGCTATGTAGAACTTAATTAAAAAATACAATATTTTCAGTGATACATTAAAGCTGAATTTGTCCCATGCATAGAAATACTAAAAAAAAAAAAAAAAAAAAAAAAAAAAAAAAAAAAAAAAAAAAAAAAAAAAAAAAAAAAAAAAAAAAAAAAAAAAGCTAACACCTTTGTAACTTCATTTTAGGAGCAGGTTTTGGAGCACACAAGTGTCTCGGTTTGAGACAATGTTTTCAGAGATAAGTGTTATGGGATAAATGTTTCCTCTGAAGTAAAAAATTTGATGTTTTTTTCTCACCAATATGAAATAGATGTTTGGGCAAATATGAAGAGAAAAATAGTTTATTAACAAACCAAGGTGCCCACAGGACACAGATTNAAAAGCTAACATCTTTGTAACTTCATTTTAGGAGCAGGTTTTGGAGCACACAAGTGTCTCGGTTGGAGACAATGTTTTCAGAGGTTAAGTGTTATGGGATAAATGTTTCCTCTGAAGTAAAAAATTTGATGTTTTTTTCTCACCAATATGAAATAGATGTTTGGACAAATATGAAGAGAAAAATAGTTTATTAACAAACCAAGGTGCCCACAGGACACAGATTAAAAAAAAAAAAAAAAAAAAAAAAAAAGAGTAACTGTTAGATATGTAAAAGTCTAGGAACACAAGCTGCCCCCTCTCCCCATAGTCGCTTGGCACATGGTGTGGGGAAAGATGGTGTTGCTCTTGTCCTAGGGAAAAAAGAAACAAAAGAAAAGTCCACATGGCTGCTCGGGCAACAGTGGGAACCTGGTGGTAGTCCTCTCCTCAGTGGTGAAACAGAGGGCTCGGTGTGATTTTCTCTCGCCAGCTTGGCTTCTCCGGAGTCCGGGATGAAMCAGAGCTGCACCTGCGGCTTGTCCCAGCAGCCACCGGTTGATTGGCGCTTGCCTCCCGGTTCTTGGACCAAAGCCCCAATGATCCGCTCAAGAAGAAAAAAATCACAGGAGCTGCTGAAAGATGGCASTCCAGGGAGAGCTGTTTGCCCAAGCTAACAAACCTGAGCTAGCTAAGCGGCAACAATATAACTCTGCTGCACCCAGCGAGGTGAATTCTTGCAGTGCCCAGCTGAGCTCCCCCAGCCCCTGCRTGTRTGGCAGCCCCGGCTTTGAACTGCCCACTGCCTTTCCAGCYGCCCCTGCCCCTTCTTCCGGGGCAGATTGAAAGGCACAAGCACATTTTGGGCCTACAAGTAGATGGAATATCAGAATAGAGTGTTATCATAAAGTCAACCCAAGACAACAAGTTGACCTGTATGCAAAATTAGCACAGGTAACAAATAGGCAACAGTTCAAGAACTATTAAAATAAAAATTGACTTTCATAGAAAGTGCATCTGACACATCAGAATTGGACAGAATAAACCAGGTTTTCTTTTTATAACCTTGCAGAGCAGCTTAATAACAACATTTATAACCTTGCAGCCATTAACACCTCAAATCCTGCTAAAGTAAAGCAGTAACTTTCTCTTGTCACAGCCGAGCTTTCTGGGAATCTTTGAGTGTTGTCTTGTTTCAGTCAATAATTCTCTTCAGTGGATATCAAAATGAAAAAGAGAAAGGGATGGCATATTCTCTAAACTACCTTTTTATATAAACTGGAAAAGAGAAAAAAGTATTTATGATTTTTATTAGTGCTGAATGCCTCTTGCTTAAGTTCTCTGTATCATTAAATTAGTATTGTTATTTTATATATTATAAATTGCACTGCTTTAGTAGTGGCACTTCAAAAGTTTTCATTACTATGTTTGTGTGAGACTTTTCAAGGAACCCTTTGTCATATTTGAAAATACCATAAAATGCTTTATAAGATGAAGTTTAACAGAATGTATGTGTAAGGCCATTTTCTTGCAAATGTGTGTATCTGGGAACATGTTATATACAAAAAAGGGAAAATTCCTAGTGAATGTGAAAACAGAGTACATCTTTCTGTAATGTCTCTAGTCATTAAAGTTCACTTTAGGTGACTAACTCCTTTTCTGTGACTTAGAAACAGAATTAATACTTAGTTTGTGTGGAAAGGCTCAGGAAATAGGAAAGAGTCTAACATTTTATGTCCGTTGATAATCTATGTGCAGTTAACTGTTTTTGATGTGGTTTTGTTGTGTTCTGTGCTGTCTTTGCATGCTTTTAGCTATTCYTAATTTTCAGTTGTAATCAAAGGGTCAGATCAATTTACTCTGGATTTTATGTATGGATTTATGGGATTACAGCAAGCAAGGGTGAGATGCTGGTTTTTGTTTTTTAATTGAAGCCCTTTTGATAGCAGAGTTGCCAGGGTTGCATCTGCAACACTCAGCTATGACACCTGTGCCTCTGCCTGCACTTGCTGGATGAGAGGGCAAAGATTTGGTGTCTGTAACAGAGAATCAATACACAGAAGAGCTCTGGAAWTATAATGGCTGCAGGGTCCCTGAATGGCTGCTGTGGTAGCAGCTATATACCAAGGTGACATTTTGGGGTTTGCAATTTTGGTCTGCCCAGAAGTGGATAATTTCCTTCATATCATCAGGTGTTTTTAGATATCAGGGATTTGAAAACTATGATCCAATTCATCAGTAAGTAATTGTAGGAGGATTACTTCATATCTGGTTGCTCAGTCTGCATGAACTGACACCTTAAGGGAGACAAAAATAAAACTTGCAGTGCACTTCTTGCATGGAAGAAACATTGTCCCAAGTTCCGTACTCCTTTGAACTTGTAACATTCTGATTTACACATGCCAAGGTTGCCAATTTAGAAAAAGCCAAGTCTAAAACAAATGTATCAATTGTTCAGCCCCAGCCTATATATGACAGCAGAAATTGTACTTAAAATTAGATGTTTCTTTAGCACACTTATTTTTTTCTCCTAAAATCCTAATTGCTCCTGCCCAGCCTTGTATTATGTCTCCAAGACTTAAGTTATTATTGTCTGACTCTTTTGATCAATTTCTTAGTAAACCACTCATCACTCGACAACATTGTAAAAAGCCTTGTGTAATTTTACTGCGGTTCTTAGTGTTTTCTTTCTTCTACCTTTTACATAAAATTCAGTACTTCTAAAATTAATAAATCATTCATCAGCTGATGTTCTATTCTTTGGCCTACAGGTTTTTTTCCATTGCTGTAAATGTTGTACTTGTGTGATGAACGGTAGATGTACCTTCTGTTAATACATAATTCAGACACTATTCCATTTGGAATCGCACTGGAATGAAGGCATTGATAATTTCCAAGTAAATGAGTGGGTGGAAATCAGACAGCTTATTTATTTTTAGGCGTTTAGCTTGTCAGCTTTTGTGAATGTTTGTGTTCGCTCACATTCTTGCCGTCTAACGTTGAATTTCCAGGGACCATCATGTGTCTAGAACCATTTAACTTTGCCCATGCATATGAAATGTAACCCTGTGGTGGTTTTGGTTGAATTTCAAAACACAAAATGTAGCACAATAACAGTCTTATGAGCGATCTGAGATCACTTCAGGTAGATGGAACAACTTTCAGTGCTTAATTTTTAACTGTCATTTACATTAACTCTGTGTTTTGAAGTGCAAGAAAAACTGACTGTTTAGATCTATTGCTGTATTTGTTTTTCCAGCTGTTGTAAAAGTTCTAAAAAATATTAGCAACAGTTATCCTGGTGCCTTCTTATTAGTAAAGCTTTATCTAGTAATGAAAAGTATTTTCTTTACATTTTCTCAAAATTTGTTCTTATGTATAGAACATCTATATATATATAAATGTATGTGTATATAAAATCACATTTTTAGTAATTACTAAAATCACAATTTTAGTAATTTAGTCTAGAGGATAAATAAAGCTCAGGCAAGGTAGTTCTCTCTAACTGACTTGATGAATATGCCTGCTCTCTTGGAGATCTTCAATCTACCCTTGAAACAAAAATGCTAATGATAAAATGAGCTGTCTTTTCTATTTTACTTAGGTAACTGATATTTTTTACACCTTTGGACACTGCTCTGGTGTAGAAAGCCTTTGCATCCATGTCTGCCTTTCTTCAAGCTCCTTTTTCTAGGAGTGTGTAGATTCCTTTCAGAGTGGAAATTCTAATGTTTTTTCTAAAATTTCAAGTGTAAATTTATCCACCTGTAACAGAAATGCAATTTTAGTGTTGTTTGTAAGTGTGTGAAACAAAAGAAGTCTTTTGTAGCCTATTTTACCTAACAATGGATAAATTTTATTATTTATGGGTAGCTAGATATCCTTTTTTACTGCATATGTTATTGGCCCAGGAGACTCTGCAAACTTAGAAGTCGAATTGATTATGTTAGAGCATGAGTGCTGTTTGTGTAATAGGTTTTCAGAGATTTGTTCTCTAGYAGTTTTTTAGTATTAGTAGAATTCATTTTTTTAGCTCTGTTGCTCTTTAAACCCATTCTTCATATYTGTATCTTATCTATCTTATGCACATTCAAATTCCATTACCATCAGGAAATTGCATTTTTTTCTCTCCTTTGCCCACAGATATGCGTGATAAAATGAGGAAATGGAGGGAAGAAAACTACCGAAACAGTGAGCAGATAGTGGATGTTGGAGAAGAGTTAATTAATGAATATGCGTCTAAACTTGGAGATGATAGTAAGTAAACAGTCATAATTTTTAAAAGTTTAATTGTCTGATTTAGTTTTCTTTATTTAGTCTCTATTTTATTTAACAGCCTTTGTGTCATCTTTCAGTATGTGCAGATGTTGATGAAATGTGTATTACTTTCTTAGTCTAACAGGTTTCCAGCATTGCAAGAATTTATTTCTTTCCCAAATGTGGGCTGCAGTAAAAACTACCTGGTAGAACTGYTAGCTTGCTATTTTAGTATTTAGTATTTAAGACTGCAACATGAAAAGTTCATGCAAAACTATTACTTAGGTGTTTTTGCCTGATTTAATGTTGTTCAACATTGTGACAGAAATGGAAGCAAGCCCTCAGAGATACTGTCTAGAACATGGCAGTTATGTTGGGAAAAATAGAGAATTAGAGCCTTTTTGCCTGTCAAGATGTCAGAAGGTACTTCAGCACTAAAAGTGCTAAGTTCCTTAAATACATTTGTGATTAATTCCAGCAGTTTCTTAATTTGTCCCTGTTTCAGCCATGATTCATGGCAGCAGAAGGGGAAAAATCTCGTTAATCCTGTTTATATGAAAGATGCTTCCTATTATGTTAAACAAACCCCAAACCAATTATCTGCATTTATTGTCTCTTTGTGTCCAGTTTGGATAATTTATGAACAGGTGATGATTGCTGCCCTGGACTGCAGTCGAGATGATTTGGCATTGGTAAGTTTCTAAGTTGACTTTTCTTTCACACTGAATGTTTTCATCCTGGGTATCTCTTCCAGATAGTTTTTTTGACAGTTACGGGATATTCTGAATTCCATAGCTTGGACTGGTAGAAAGAATATCTCAAAAAATACAGAGCTGAGAAGAAACTGCCACCACCTACCTCCTCTAAGGCATAACTTTTGTTTGGACAGATCACATCTCTTCCAATARCTATGAAAATATTTACAGCTACACTGGTATGGGCTAAATGTCAAGAATAATATTGAAGTTACCATATTGTACAGAGAATGTTTGTTTATTGAAGAACTCTCAAATTATGTTATTTTTCTGAATGTTTTGAGGTAAAATGAGCCATCTTACATATCATATTATATGTCATGTTGGCTRCCATCAAAGAAAGTCATTGACATATTGGAGCAGGTCTTCAGGATGAATAAGGAGCTGGACTGCATAATGTATAAGGAAAGGCTTGAGACATCTATGTTAAGTCTTTGGAAAGCTAAGAAGGGATTTTTGAATGTGTACTGATGGGAAGGAAGTTAGGAAGAAGATGGGCACGTATTTTCATAGATGTTCAACAAAGGACAAGTGTGGAACATAGGCTGCAACAAAGGAAATTCCAATCAGATGTTAGGAAAATCTTAGCGAACACTTTATGACAAATGGCACATTGAAGCTGATGAATCTCCTTTGGAAGTGCTTAAAAATAGATTGGGATATGGCCCTGCACTCCCTTGGAAACTGGGTCTGTTTGGAGTGGAGATTTGGAGCAGCTGAACTGCAAAGGTCCTTTGCAATCCAAATTATTTGATGATTGGTGATAAAAATATTGTTTATGGATATTTGAGTTTTGTCAATTTGGATGCAAATTTGTTTGAATGATACAAATAACAATTTAGATAGAATTAGCTTATTTTGAACTGTAAAACCCGTTCGTTAGGTTAAAAACAAAAAAAGCCACTGAAACAAACAAAACAACCCAATCAACTTAGCTAATTCATTAAAGGCAACAACGGCAAAAGGCAAAAGTGTGTCTAAAAGGAAAATTTTAGTAATCTTTTCACCCTTCCTTCGCAAAACAGAAGGAAGCAGAGGTTTGTCTTGTGCCCTGAAAGAGCTTATTCTAAGTAAAAAGAGCTTATTCTAAGTAAAAAGCCATTTTCAGGCTCCAGGTCTTTCAAGCAATTACTCCTCCAGTGCCTTGTTTTCTCTTGGATGACAAAATGCGTCATAAAATCTTTGAGCATCATGTGATGTCATTCGGGTAAAATTTAAGGCAAGGGGTGAGACTAGAGGATGTAGTTGGGAGAAGGGTGATTTGAAAGAAGGCAGAGCTAGACAGGTTGATCTGGCATCCCATATGTATATATGTGGTAAAATGGAATATGCTGGAAAATATAATACAAGACTTTGGACTTGTGAACCCACTGAACTTCCCTCTCTTTTGTCCATCAGAAGAAAATATTGTAGTAGTATAGCTGTTTGTTTAAACAAAAACAAATAGACTTTCTGTTTAAATAAATACATTTCTGTGTCCTGATTTATATGTAAAACAGATTTAGTCTTTATTTTCAGGGTCTTTCAAAGAAGACTTTCACGAAATTGTTGACGGAGCCAGTGTTGAAAGATTCRTTGTGAAACACTCTTTGTTTTTACTAACACTGGTAGAGAGTTTGAATTTCAGTTTCTGTGCTCTTTAAGGAATATTGCTTGAGATAAGGGAATGCAACATTTTATGTGCAGCTCAGAAACAAGATTAAAAGCATAGAAGGAAATTTAGAGTTATTTTTTATTTTTTAATTTGATTTACAATAAAGAATAGTTAATTCAAACAAGTTAACATAATTTGGGGCATTTTATTACATCTGTAGTGCCAAAGTAGTCAAACAGCTTTGGAACTTCTGTTTTTTTGGCAGTGAGCTTTTGACAGCTCTGGTGCATTTTGCTCAGGGGGCTAAGTCTCATCTGCTCCAAATGAGAAGCTGAGGTAGTTTTCAGAGTCATTTATCTGAATTTTTTTTTTTTCCTCTATTTGTTACTTTGTCCTTGCTGTCCTGCACAAAAAGCCCATGTATAATGTGTGCCCCTGCTGCAACCAGCCAGTTGGTTCACCAGCTGAATCACTKATTTAGGTGATTGGTGCAATCACCTATTGCTGGCAGCAGTTGCATTACCAGTGTTTTACTTGTTGAAGTCCAGGTTTATGTTTTTCTACCTTTGTCTGATGTTTAAAATTTAARAAGTCAGAAAGCCAACTAAGTGCAAGTTAGATTTGTTATTGTAACTGAGAGAATTCTGAGAGAATCTTGCTAGTAGATTATTGACATGGTRCAAAGTCAGTCCTCAACAAAAGAAATTATTCTGGGGATTACAAGTTCCATTTAAGAAGAGGACATTCAGTGCTGCTGAGCCTAGAACATTTTGAAGCGAGTGTAATTCATTCATGTGCTTTTGATTTTATCAATGTTAGTGATTTATTTGTGACCGTCAACAAGGTTTGTGACAACTTTTCCTCTCACTTTATTGTGACTGATAGCTTAATCTAAAGGGGTTTATTTTGGCCTTTYGTCTGCTGTGTTTGGTTGAGTAATGATTGTGTAGTGAGATCTAATGTGAACAGTTCAGGTTTTGTATTACTCCTGCACTTGAGCAATGCTTTCATATTGTCAGTGAGGGTTTTTTAGATGTAAAAATTCCACATCTGCAGATTGCAGAATTTAGTATTGTAAATATATTTTTGTTAGGTGTACATTTTATTGGAAAAAATAGTACATGTATTTATAAAAATCACTATGCTTTGGGATTCACTGATCAGTGGACCACAGGGTGGATTTATTGTATACAAAAATTCTTTCTAAAGCCTACAGGGTTGTCTGGGTTTTAAAAGCTGGAGTGAATCTACTTTTCTGGAGTTTTATGTACATTTTCCTGTTTCTTAAGAATGTTCAGAGATTAGTTCAGACATCGTATAACATACTGCTAAGTACACATAGTTTTTTGTAACTAGARCAACAGCAGTTCATCTAGGCATCATTCAAAGTGCCAGTAAACTATTTTCTGTAGTAAACCTATGTCTTTCTAGGTGAAATTGCAATGTAAAAATCTTGGTTCATTGCAAATTAAGTCGATCATGGTGAAAATGGTCTGTTCTCATTTGAGGCTAAGCATTATGGCTTTGGTTACTGTTGCTTTTCTCTCTTCCTATTTTTTAGCATCTGGGAGAGACACAAGTATTCTTCTKGGATGTGCTTTAGCAACCCTTTTGTTTGCAGAAACAAAGAGGGATCCTACTAATTATTAGGGATTTGTACCWTGACCAGTGGATGTGATGAGATGGACCAGATTATGTAGATAGGCCTCTGCTAGAACCTTAGGTCTGAAGAAAAGTTTCTAAGTTGAGTTGTATGAATAAGTGCTTAGAAGAGGAAGATTCAGTGTGAAGCCTTTAACATGATGCGCACCCCTGGTCCATTTGAGACCCCTGGACTGTCCTGCCTCCCATTGTCAGGAGCYGGCTACAAACTTTGCGATGCTATTAAGCCACATTCTTGATATGGTTGGTTTGCTCTGGGGAARTTGTGACTCAGTCCCTCCACCAAACATCCTCTGCTAATCCAGAGAAATCTGCCTGTGATTAATTCTTTTTATCCAGCCCAGGTATCTCATGGATTTCAGGAGTTAAAAACAATACCTCTTCTGCCAGCAGGCTGTACCCAGGCCAGTGGCAAACATTTTCTTTGGATTTCCGAGTTTTGTTTTAAAAATAAACACAGAGCGTTGTATTAGCATAGTTTGTTCCATTGTGAAATATCCCTTTATTAAAGTMGTATCACTTAAGCTCTTACTGTCTTTATTTTGTTTTTTTGCTGTCTTGTGTTACTATGCGGCAACTAAATAGAATTCAAGTTTTAATAGTATAGGAACTGTTTCAGTAGGTGAGTGTAATTTTCTGGGCAAATAACTATTTCCAAGGGGGTCTTTCAATATTTTGCCCTGTATGGAAAATACTTCTTAAAATTAGTCTTCTAACAGACAGAATTTCAGTTTCTGACTTTATCAGTATATTTTATTGCTWATTTTAAAAATTGGTATTTACTTTTAATCAGAAATGGTATGCCAAGTTATTGAATTATGGGCCAAGACCTTTTTTTCTTCTATTTTTTCTTCTTTTAGCTTCTGTGTAGATTATTATATTCACAATATCATTTTTGGTTCTTTGTATAGTTTTGTCTTCAGGAGTTAAGGCGGCAGTTTCCTGGGAGCCATAGAGTTAAACGATTAACTGGAATGCGATTTGAAGCTATGGAAAGGTAACACCTGAATTTTAAAAACCATTCTTTCTGTTCTGTTTGCTCTTTCTTAAAAAAACATTCAGCCATTACAAAATATCAAAATAATGCTGGGCAGTTTCTTTATCGGAAATAACAGTGTGCATGATCATATWATRATTTTTAGACATCTGTATTGCATTTTTGCAGGTACYATGCAGTGTTTCATTTTTGCAATCTTCCCATTAGAGATCATAGATGAGAGGGATCTCTTACTCAACAGCATAAGTCRTTATACAGTAGAACACTGCAGAGTTTTTTGGCAGATTCTGTGAGGTGTAAGTTTCATCTCACAGATCTAGGGCAGCATATGAAAATCAGTGCCAGCATTTTTTTGCCTTAATTGTTCTATACTCYTGATTACTGCAGGGTGCAGCTCTTTACTCTTGTTTTCTGAGTGTGGGTAAATGAACTTAAAAAGGATTACATCTATAGTTTGTTATAGAAAAAACTAAAAAAAATGTGGAATAGAATGGCAGAACATGAAAATCAGACTGACCTTTTTGAAGTATCCTTTAGAAGGTTATAAAATACTAAGTTTAACAGCAGTTACTAAAATAATGAACAGATTAAAACTTTGCAACATTCCAAATGAATGGTCTCAGGGCTTGAGGATGAACTTTGTTGTAAACATTTCTCCTGGATACATCTTTGTTATCAACATTCTGTTCTATAGCATTTGTCTTGGGTGTGCCAGGACAAGGTCTCCAGTGCCTTTGAATGACAGAAAATCTGTTCCATGCCACATTTAGCATATAGAGTTAGTGAGTTTGGAGCCTTTGGGCCATCTTGATAAAAAGGAATTGGAAGCACACCCCAAATGCTTTTATAGAAGATACTTACTTAGCGTGTGTTCTTCATCCACTGCATTCTTGCAAAATTAGCTTTGAAAATGGTATTTGATATGAAACACTGATAAATGTCCACTGCTTGGATCAACAATAATGAATAAATGGACTCTGTTCACAGGAGCTGTCTCAAGGCAACCAGATGCTCTGTTTTTCACACTCACTTTATATAAAGTACCCATTCTTGAAGAACTACCATTAAACTTAGCTCTCTTGTATTCATTTTATGTAGGGTAGGAAGACAGTGAGAGAATGGCAGCAGTTTTTCCCCCTTCCTGGAACCTATTCAGAAGTACAATAGATGATAATTCAGTTCAGGCTTGTGTGACTACACTGGAGATGTTATTGCATGGGAACTCATCTTTGTGGTATATGGCTGCTGCACTGACATTATGTTTTCAGCAATGAAGCACTAATGAGCTGTATAGTTTTCTGCAAGCACTCATCAAAATTTGTGACAATATGTCTCTGTTAGGTCAGATCCTTGAGATTAGAGTATCAGGGAGCAGAGAAATTAAAAGCTGATGTTTTATGYCTATGGCTTTTCTCTAGAAGTCAGRGAAGAAAGAAGGCTTAAACTTGGGGTTGTTTTGGACAGGAACCCCATCTGCAGGTGCTCTAAGCCATGCTCTGGAGGAGCCTGTCTGTCTCCATTGGCTATAAAAGAAGTCTAGAAAGATTTAGGCTGGAGGCATCATGTTTTAGTTGAAGAAGTGAACTTCTTATTAAATTATAAGTGGCTTRTAGGATCTAGGGAGCACCCTGCTTTCCCCAACAGGAATGGGAAACAATGAAGACCATCTCAATAGACTGAGACATCCCTGTAGACACTTGCTAATAAAAAGGTTAATGTWCTGGAACTTCACCATGTAAAGCTGAGGTTATAGCCATCAGATTCAGTCTTCTAAAATGCATTTGACAAAGCAGCAGCTAACAGAGAACACAAATACAGCATTGTGCAGCACATCTGCTCAAGTCTGCAGCAGCCTCCTTCTACTCGTTTTTGCTGTTGTGTTTCCTTTCACATTAGTTCCTATACTTTATGGTAGCTGGACTGGACTGCTGGGCTGTGCTGACATCAGCAATGCCTAGGGAACAGTGAGAGTATGTAAATGAGTGTCTAAGGTGATGTCTAAGGAATGTGGAGCATCAAAAATCAATCAGCAGTATCTCTGATACTTGTCAAACTACACATGAAGAYGCGATGTATGCCCTAATTCTGTGGCGATAGCGCAAAACAGCTGTGTAGTGAAATCTGTTTGGGTCGTGTACACAGCTCACTGAAYACAGAGGTCTGTTTCCCAGAAGGTTTGAAGTGCTCGTGGTACCTGAAGTAACYTGTTTCAAGCATACTTCAGATAGCAGAATTAATTGATAAATAATAAAAAGTGAGAAGTGATAGAAACCATTTTTTTCAAGATTTATGTTATAATCTGGGGTAGTCTCCAGTGTGAATCTTTCCAGTTTGCTGAATGCAGCTGCTTGTATTTTTTAAAGTCACAACAGAGGAAACTTTAAGTTTTAAATTGCAGCAGTGAAGTGAAATGTCATRATTTTGGATGCATTTTTAAAATCTGGAGTTTCTTTTTCTTGGGAGATGTGAAAGGGGGAGTAGGGATGTGCTGATTAGACCTATTGGATATAGATAAAGAGAGAACAGACAGAAGAGTAAGATACCGGTTGTAAAATATCTTAAGTTACTGCTGAAGTAGAATTCCATGAAGCAAATCCCGTGTGTTTTTTTTTTAAATTGCTGACATAGTGCTACTTAGCACTCACTCAGAAGCGTTTTGTATAAATCTGATTTGCTTAGTATATTTATATTATGTTTCAGTATAAAAAATGCAGGAAGGTTATTAACTATTGCAAGGAGAGTCAAAAAGTCAGAAGATCTGTCTTTGCAGAAATGACTGTGAATGATTTCTTTGAACAGGTATGATGATGCTATCCAGCTGTATGATAGAATTTTACAAGAAGATTCAACCAATACAGTAAGTTTAAAAGATAATTATTTCACTGCAGTGATGTTGTTTGAAATTATGGCTAGATTTTTATGTGTGGAAAAATGTGTGTCTGTATTACTGTATTGATTTTCTGTAGTTTTCTGTTAYTGTAAACTGTTACCATCATTTCATGATGGGAAGATGTGGTGTAATACCTGCTTAAACACTGATTTTAGGGGACAGATTATAACTAGGGATCTTTACAGAAGTCTTAGTAGTGCTTAGAGTTGGGCCTTTCAACTCTTTCATTTCCCAGAATATTCAGCGTTTAAAAGAGTAATGTAGTCTGCCATGTGTCTTCTACATTCCTTATGCCTAATCTTACTTAAGGATTCACTATTAATACACTCAGGTAGTGCTTGAATAGCAGTTATTTTGATTCATGTGTGGGACACTTTACTGGCTCTTGAATCAAAATGCATAAAGCATGCCAATTGTATAAAACAAAAAAAAAATCTGAGACAGACTGTACTGTTCTTCTAAGCATTTTTGAATACTGTTTGTGAAAGCCACTCTGAGCTATTAGCTGCCAAAATAAAAGTCTGGAGAAAYTTGTAGCAATATATTTTCATGGATTTTTTTGTCACAAGGATAAAATTAGAAATATGARGAAACTATGGACTTTCAAATTTTTRTATGACATGTTGAAAAGTTAAATTATTATTAGTCATTGAGGGTATAAGTGTTACTTGGTTTTGAGGAACTATTGGGTAAACTTCTGTGTAAATGTAATATTAGGGCTATTACAGGTGTTTTGGCAATCTCAGGTAAAWCTAGGTGTGTGTTAAACCTCTGCCTTTCTTTGGTCAACTTACTTGATGCAGTCTGCTATTCAGGAGGGCAAAACCCACAGAAAAACAGATCATTGGGATTATCTAGGGTATGCCAGAGGTGGATATAGTGCCCTCACTTAAACCAAGTAAACTGTTAAAAAAACAAAACAAATTAAAAAGCAAGCAGCAATAATCAAAAACACCCCAAACTACCAGAAAGTTATTTTCAAGGCAGCACATCTGGAAATAATACCAAGTAAGTACTCRGACAACAGTAGTAGGTTAAAGTCTGTCTGTTAGCAGTGATAGAACTCACAGATTTTGTGCAAGGGTAAAAATAACTATTTCAGTTATGCACACTTCTTTTTCTCTCTCCCTGAAGTAGTAGAAGCTTGAGTTCAGGAAATTTTGAACACAAGGTGCATAGGTGTCCACAGTAAATGGTGGATTTTATCAGTGCATGGCTCAAGGAATATCAGTGACACTTAAGTCTGAAGAATCCTGTTGAACCAATAGGGAGCACAATTGCAGTGAAGTCACAGAATGGGTCACCTTGGTGCATGTTTTATGAGCTTTTGCTGACACCAGTGGAAAATGGAGCACCGTATTACAATGACTTTTATAGATCACAGATCTTTGAAGTGTGCATTTTTGGCTGTTWTACTCTTCAGCTATCTCAACATAGCTAACATCGTCTGAGTGGTTTGTTGGATGGCTTTATAAAACAAAAYGATTTATTTAAATAAGTGAAGTTCACGACTGTCTCTTTATTTGTGTTTCCTCCACAACAGTCATAAAGATCCATAAAGTTGTAATATTTAGAAACATAAATTGTAAATATTAGAACAGTTGGGTGTCTGGATTTTGTAAGATCTGATAATAGAATTAGAGACTATTAAATGCAAAAGAAAAGTTCCTTGTTATRTAACTGTAGAATAGGTTGTGTAAGGCTTGCATATGTAGATTTCTTTGTGTCATTTCACCTGTTAATTATTTCCATGCACGCATGTGACTCCTGTAGGAAAAGAAATATTTCAAGATTTTAGAAAAGCAAGTCACACTGAGTTTGTCTTGGCATTCACTTTACTTTATAGAAATTTCTTCTGGTCTGCTGACACATGGAATTGCTTATATACATTAAATGTTTTGGCAAGTGCTTTAAGTGAAACATAGACATTTGTTCACAAGAATCATGTAAAAATCATACCTTGCATTGACTGATCAAGAAGAAGCATGGAAAAAGATTTTTCATAAAATTACTTCTTTTAGATGCATAGAAGAATTTTCCATTATGAAAAATGAAGTTTGAACTCAAGTTATGTAATGAACGTTTACACTTTTGTATGAGGTTTTATATCATGCAAAACAGTGAAATTAGGATAGCAGTAGTTATTTTAATTTCTTAGAATTCAAAGTAATTTTTATTATTGAAATATGATCATCTTTAAGTTTTATCTCACTCTGTGCTTACTTGCTGAAAAAGATGACTCATTTGGCAATGGAACAATGTTAATGTCACTTTAGAGATTTTGTTTCATTTTTCAAAGTGTGTAGATGTTGAGTAATATTTCTAAGGAGACTTTAATGCATGATATGTGGCTCCTGTGAAATGCATAACTTGTGTACATTTCAGTAGGGTAAGAATTGGAACCTTTTCCATTCTTGTCCATTTTGGTTGAAATGAGGGSTCAAGCTGACAGATCTCTTACTAAAGCTGCATAGTATTTTCTATTGCAGGACTTATTCATGGGTTTAGTAATGTAATTGTATGAATGAAGAATTAAAATTTTCATAGTAAGTCAGTGTTCTGATCAACTCTATTGTTTATGGGAGTGGGCCAGAACAACTGTATGCATATGGTCACATGAAGTTACCCTTTCTGATACTATTTTGAGATCCTTTTTGCAGATGAGCTGGAGAGGCCCAGGAGGTAGCTGAAGACCTCTGGGAACCCAGAATACTAGGAAGATTCAGAGCAAAATTTTAGTACTTCGTGTAATGTAAATAGGCAGCAATTATGTATCATGAATATTGCAGTTCATCTCTTTCTGTGATTGTTCATTGATACTACCTTGACTGTGTAGGTAACTTTTTTTCCCCACCTCCTGGTCTCCACTAAATAAGATGAGAACAATAAAGCACTGAATTTGAGCAGTGGATATCTGCTTATTATCTGAACTATGATAATTTCTTAAATTTGCTGCAGTAGCTGTGAATTCATTTTTAACAGAGGCCCCCTGTGAAGATCTTGCAGCTTTGTACATTTATCTGCAGGATGCTCTGAGTTGCAAAAGGGAAAACTGTTCACCAAATGAAACATCTGCTAATGGGGAGAATTTTCTAAGGTGACAKGTATGTTTCATTAAATATGTTGGCAGCACTGCCAGGAAAGACAGAACGAGACCTAAACTTAAGTGTGTACAGTGGTAGTTTTAAAGGAAATAGAGAAAGAGAGCTTGGCACTGTCTGGCACAGGATGGAGTTGGTGGAGAGGTGTGAAGAACTGCAGCTGCTACTTTGGTTAGTTCCTGATGAGAATGGATGGTAGGCTGAGAATGCACTATGTGGTCCCTAAAGTTTTTTTTTTTTTGCTTTTGACACAGCATCATTTACCATTGTGGAGTTTTTTCCCTTCTTTTTTAGTCATGATCGATAAAGTGAGAGAGCAGAGTGCATACCACCATTTTCCCCATGTTTTGTGAGTGTAGCACTTTTAAATGTTGATGGATGTTTTGTCTCTTGAGGTTAAAGATTTGAGAACATAAGAATGGGTGTACTGAAGTTGTGGCAAAAGTCGATTTTATTTGTCCTGTGTCTGTCAAAGTTTGACTTTAATTTGCTGATACCAGAAGTGTGTAAGAGCAGGGCAATGGTAGTATGCGCTTGTCTGTTCTGCCAGTTTCTATTCATCTCCATGTTGCAGTTTTCCTGTGCCAAAAGCTATAACTGTTTTAATGGCTCTACATGACATTTCTACATMGATTTATTTTTAATCTTGTTTAAGTTTGCCATGCCTACATCTACAACATAATTGAGAAATTAAATTTCATCATTTATTAATAGACTGGGCAAATCTCCTTTGGTTCCTTTTTCCCTTCCTACACCTTCAATCTAACAATTTTATTTAATGCCTCTGAATTTGTACATTACTGTCAGCAGTTGTTTTCACCTTATTAATACTCATGACTTCAGGGATCTTTTACACTTTTCTTCCCTCTAAACTAAGAAGTCTTGATGTGCAGCAATTCTTGTTGCCATTCTGTGCCCTAAAACTGCTGTTCTGAGTGTCATTTTTCTATTTTTTTCATGTATTTGGGTGAGAAATGAGAGAGCAGAGCTGCAGTCAGTATTAAAAATKAAAGAGCATTATGGACTTAAAAATCACAAAATGATGCCATAGATGCGTCTCTTCTGTATTCTTTTCTGATAATTCCAGTATCTCAGTATTTTCAGTTTGGGATTTTGGGGCAGGTTTTTCAGATTTTTTTTAAGATGGCTTCTGAACACTGAACCAATGTTTTACAGAACTGCTTATTGCAAGTCCRGTAGCTCTCTCTTAACTGGATCAATTCAGACAGCTTTTTTGTGTGTGTTAAATTAGTATAATTTGACCCTGTATACAATCATTTGTGTAGAATAAATTTCAGGGGTTGTTTTATCGTGCTGATTAAAGTATTCATTATGATTCATTTTTTGGAATTCTATTCTTTGTCATTGTCTTTTGTTCTTTATACTTGAATAASTCCTTATTAGCATTTAACTTTACATCACTATCAATCCCTTGTTAGATCACTTATCAAGGATACTGAGAAGCAGTTTTTAGTACAGGTGATTCTGGGATTCTCAGCACAGAGAACTCTTTTCCCCTCTATTTTATRTCTTCTTATTTAATTATCCATGTGGAAATCTTCCCCTCTTAGACTGTAGCTAAGTTTTAGTTTCCTTCAGGTAGCTTGGTTTCCTTCAGAGCTTTCRGCTTTTGGGTGAGATACCTTGTTGAAGTTATTTTTTAAGTGAAAGTTGACTTTTATGTAGATCTTTACATTTAGTAACGCCTTGAGAAGTTCAGTAGATTGGGGAAGCCTTACTTCCCTCTGTGTAAACTGTCATTGCTTTCTGTTGGTATAGAACATGTTTCATGTTTGCTGATTCCAGGATTTAGCTTTTCAGCCCTTAACAGCATAACTAGTTCTTCTAACTTCTACCATTGTGGTG